ATAACTAAGAATAACATATATATATATATATATATATATATATATATGTGTGTGTGTGTATCTGTGTGTGTTATATGAAATATGTATGAAATATATATATATTTCATGTGTTATGTACATGATATATATATCATGTGTTTTATGTATATATATATAAATTTAAAAATGTATATAATTAATAAGATGGCAATGAAGTGAATGTAGTCACATATTATTGGTACCAGTGAAAAAATTAAATAGCAGTGTGAAAATAATAACTAAAAGTCATAATAATAATAATAATAATAATTTTATCTTATTATCCAGTTTTTGAGAATTGTCTTAAGTGTATTTCTTATCCCTGCATAACCAGAAGTACAGGTTTACAGAGTTTCATTGCTTGTGTCTAAATGTTTGGCTAGATTGTCAGGGACTTGGGAAAGACATGATGGGAAAATTGGTCAAAAGAGGGTCTGCATAAGACATATTTGGATAGACTTCTCCAGATAGGCAACTAGTTTGAAGATACAGTAAAACCTTGGATCATGAGTAACTTGTTCTGCGAGTGTTCTGCAAGATGAGCAAACATTCCTAATAAATTTTAAGTTGATAAGAGAGTGATGTCTTGCAGTACGAATAGTACCTGATGCCGGACTTGTGTCACATGATCACAAATGAGTCAGTGTTCTTGAAATTCACTTTGATATACAAGTGCTTTGGATTACAAGCATGTTTCTGGAATGAATTATGCTTGCAAACCAAGGTTTTACTGTATTTGTATCTCATTTGAATACTCACTAAAGGGTGACTTCAACAGAGAAGGATTTTAATAAACAAGAAGATAGGATGACTCATTCTATGGGATTCAGTCAGTTTCTTTCCCCCACCAGCCACTCCTATTATTGCCTAATGGGCTCATGAACAAAGTGACCATGGTGACAAGGATAGAGGTTATGCATGGGCTCAGTAAATGGACTTCTAACTCATAGACAACAATCTGGCTACTTCCAATGCTGAATGTCCAGTCTACTAGCAATAGAGCCTAACACTGTGTCTATGATGTGCCATTATTCTCTAAGAGATTGAACCAATTGGACTACTTCCATTATGGAAAGGACAGTACTTATTCTAACTAAAATAGATACTTGTTCTGGATATGAATTCCCCTTCCTTCCCTACAATGCTTCTGCCAAAACTATCATCTGTGGATTTATACAATGTCTAATCCACTATAAAGAACATCACTTCTAACATAGGAATTTATTCCCCAGTAAATAGAGTATGTTGTTTTTACCATGCTCATGGAATTATTAGTCTATGCATCCTACATGCCCCAAGTCTGTATTAGTTATCTATTTCTGGATAACAAATTCCCCTAAAACTTAGCAGCTTAAAATAACAAACATTTTTTTTTTAATTTTTTTAATCTTTATTTTTGAGAGAGATAGAGACAGAGTGCAAGCCGGGGAGGAAGAGTGAGAGAGGGAGATACAGAATACAAAGCAAGCTCCAGGCTCTGAGCTGTCAGCATAGAGCCTGATGTGGGCTCAAACTTAAGAACCATGAGATCATGACATGGGTTGAAGTGAGATACTTACCTGACTGAGCCACCCAGGCTCAAATAACAAACATTTATTATGTCACTGTTTCTGGTGGTCAGAACGTGGCTCCCATCTTAGCTGGATGCCTGTGGTTCAAAGTCTCTCATGAGGTTGCATTTGGCTAGAACATAGTCTCATCTGAAGACTCATCTGGTGATGGTAGTGGGGAGGGTGGTTCTGCTTCCAGGCTTACTCATGTGGCTATTTCAAGACTTGGTTTATTACCACATGGGCCTCTCCATAGACCCTCAGGAAATGGTGGCTGGCTTCCTCCAGAGCAAGTGATCCATGAGAATGTGAGTGCACACTCAGTAGAAGAATCCATAGCCTTTTTCTATCCCAGTCTTGGAAGTGACATCCCTCTACATCTACCATAGTCTATTTGGAGGCATAAATCCAAGGGACTACACAGGGGTGTGAATGCCATGAGGTGGAGGTTATTGAGAGTCATTTTAGGTGCTGTTTGACACTCCAAGTAAATAAAAAATTGTTAAAACTGTAGATCTCATGTTAAATGTTCATGTTACAATAAAGATTTTGAAAAGAGAGAAATATATTTTAAAAATATTCTTTTTATCATGACTTATAATACTGCTGTGAAATTTTAACAACTTAAATGCCAAGCAATTGAGCAACAAATTAGTACATTAATGTACAAGTTAAAAAAAAACATACTTAAATAATCATGTACACTGCATAGTATAATGGAAGACTTATAAAATGATCTTAAACAGAAAAGCAGAAAACAAAATTATCCAAATATATGTAAGGACAAAGCTTGGAAAGGAAGTCACAAAAGCAAAACAAGGGACACTTGACTGGCTCAGTAGGTAGAGCAAGATATTCTTAATCTCACTATCATGAGTTCAAGCCCCACATTGGGCATAGAGCCTACATAAAAAAAAAAAGTCAAAACAATATGTAAAGTTAGATTAGTAATATTATGGTTAAGGGTTAAGGGTTTTGTTTTTCAAAAAATGGTTAATATTGTTAAAGATATTTTACATATTTTAAATGAGAGAAATTGTACTATATTGGTAATGTTTGTGTTAATTTTTTTACTTTTTATCTGTAAGAAACATTATTTATAATATATAAATTCATGTTAGGAAGTGTTTTAAAATATGCATGACTCAGAGTATGGATGACTCACTGCACATCTTTTATCATTCATTAGGTTTCTAGTAACATCATTCTGGTGTGTATAGAATCCACAGTTTTGTACCATGTGTTTTCTTATCTATATTCTGAAACCAGCCTACACATAATTAGGCATTATTCATACTGCCAGCTCTTATTCAAAATGGCAGGTACAGCCATACATATTTTATTTTTTTATCCACTGAAGACTATGTCTATTATCCCACCAAAAAATGTGCTAACAGAAAGTGGGTTTGTTCCTTGCAACCTTTCGAGGACACTAAACCAAACCATCTGTAGTAATGTTTTTTTTTTCTGCTTGGGAAATGATTGTTAACATATGGCAGTGTCAAATGACTTTAATTTATCTTTCATTAAGCAAGAAACAGCATGTCATCTCTTCAGTAGCCTGGAGATTGTTTGCCTTTTTCATTATGAATCACTAATCAAAAGTATTGCCCACTACTTTTCCCCATGTGATACCAGAAATTTTCAGAAATTCAGACTCGAAAGAAATAGCCACATCATTCCCAAAGCCAGGGGAGTGTTGTGCAGGTGAAGAGTGAATTTTCACAGTGGTCTCTTACTATGAGAATTCCTCTGTTGGTCACAGTTCCCTAATATTCATCTTTTAAATAATCAGCTTACTGTAGGTGCTAGCAAAACCACAGCCACCTCGTTTACAACTGCCTATAAGAGACAGAGTCTTCTGGGGCGCCTGGGTGGCTCAGTCGGTTAAGCGTCCGACTTCGGCTCAGGTCATGATCTCACAGTTGGTGGGTTCGAGCCCCGCGTTGGGCTCTGTGCTGACAGCTCAGAGCCTGGAGCCTGTTTCGGATTCTGTGTCTCCCTCTCTCTCTCTGACCCTCCCCCATTCATGCTCTGTCTCTCTCTGTCTCAAAAGTAAATAAACGTTAAAAAAAAAAAAAAAGAGACAGAGTCTTCTATGATATTTACTTAGACTTATAAGGATTAGGACCTTTCTGAATTTTCCTGTACTTGACTGATATTTTTTTGTAATCCATTGACTTTTACAAAAACTGTTCAGTGCCAATTTTTAAATTTTTATTAACCTAGATGATACATGAATACACCCACGTTCATTGTAAAAACCCCAAAAGAGTACAAGAGTACATACTTTTCTACTTCCCCCATCACGCTTGGTTAATGTGATTCTTCTGAGACATTTCTCTGTGTGTGCATCCACACAGACCTACAGACACAAACACACCCACCCACACACACACCCACCCACACACACACCCACACACACACACACTTTTAAATGAAGATCTGAATAACTGGAATCCGCTGTAAGTTATCTGAGACTTTATTCACGTGACAGTGTGCCTTCGAGTTCCTTCCAAGCCAATAAATACTGCTGAACATAAATCTGCTTCTTACTTTATATCTTGCAAAATATTGTGTATTTTGTCTGTATCCTAGTTTATTTAGTTATTGCTTATTGATAAACATTTAAGGTGTTTCCTTGGAAATACTTTCAACCATGGACATCCAGAGACCCTCTGTTTTGACATCCTGTTTTTCACATCTCTCCCTGTTTAAAATACTGAAACTAATCCCCAATGTCATTCCCTCTCCAAACACCTAACCTAATGAAGTTCTATTGTGATTTCTATCACTTCAGCAGTGTTAGGACTATTATGAATGTCAATCTTTCTTCCCTCTCAATGTAAAGTGAGGCATGTTTATAAAACTGATGATGTTACGTGGGAACTGAATTTTACTCCATTTATAAAGATGGATATGACCACTGTTTTAGACCACCAATATGAGACACTTCATATTAATGCCATCATAATGAAGAAAATGAATGTTTAGGTCATTGAGACTGTCTCTCATATTTTATATTATCTGGCCAATGTGTAGTGTCATTATGCAAGAATTATATCTTTATTAATAGTCCCAAATAGGTCCAAAATATTGTTGTGGTTTATTAGAACTCTATTCCTAAAGACAAAAAAAAAAACAAAAAAAAAAAAAAAAAAAAAAAACAGACATTTAGGATACATATATAAGGGTTTTGTAGTTAGTCTTTGGATTTACTTTGTTAATGCTACTCTTATCCTTTCTCCACCTCATGTGAACTCCACAAAGCCTGTTCTGAGATTGTAGCTTTAAGAGTAATTAATAAGTTAACCCTGTTCCTCACTATATGACATTTCTCCATTTCCTGTCCATAAGAATTGAGCAAAAACACTCTGCATTGTAGACTAAAACTATAAGGCTACTTGTGAATAGATGTATTTTGCAGCAAAATAGGCTGTGATCTCTTTTAATCACAATGGCATTGAGAACTCTAGCAGGCTTCCCTTTCTGCTTGGTTGGCCAAGCAGACAATTACAGGTGTCCCACTTCAGAGACTACCTGCTGCAGGCTGGTCCATGACCTCCATCTTCAACCTCATCATTCCACAGCACTGAGCAGAAATCGTGATCACCCCCATGTCTCCTTGCTTCACAGCAGTTCTTTGATTGTCTTCAAACTGTAAATGAATTTTGCAAATTAGGTTAAAAAGTTTCCCAGATATTCAAACTCTAGTCTCCCCTCTGGCTATTGTCCCAATTTACTCCTTTCTTTTCAGCTACAGAATGAATGAACTTGACCACAGCCTCCTTAAATACATGAATTTAGTTTCCCTCCCTATATTTTAGAGAAACTGCTAAACACCATTTTTTAAAAACGCTCCCTTCCTGATTTTTAGAAATATTACATAATCATTGTGGGTAACCTACAAAAGACAATGAATTATAAAGACACACAAAAATTATTTATAATCTCACAAAAATAAACTGTGGGCCTGTGTTTTTTTCTTTTTAGTTTTTTCTTCTTTTATTGTGCTTCTAAATGTAGCAAGAATATTTGCCTTTGCCATTAAGATTTCTTTGAAAATAGTTTTCAAGTTTTGCATTAATTTCATTAGTTACTAGTTCTTTAATTTTTAATTGTTTGTTATTACAGGTGACTCTGTAATAAACATTTGGTCATACATGTTTGGTCACATCTCTACTATTTTTAATCAGATATATTCAGGAAAGAATTGCCAAGTCAAAGGATATTGCCAATTGTAAAGTTCCTAGTAAAAGTTGCCAAAATGCTAAAAGCAAAGTTTTGAGATAGTTTAGATTCCAATAGCATTCTTTGAGCACTCATTTCATTATGCTCTCAAAAGTATTGTCTAACTTTTAACTTTTGCTAATCTAGTAGATTAAAATAATTATTCTTATTGTAGTTCATCTTATTTGGGTTGCTAGTGGAGTGAGTCTGCTTACTAGTTATTATCATTTTTTTTTGGTCTGTTAATTGTGTGCACAGGTAACATTGCCATAAATATCTTCTGTTCTTTTTCAATCTTAGATTATATTTATGATGTTTGTGATACGTGAAATCTTGTACTACATACAGTACATCTCTCACAGTAAAGCCTATCACATCTGTGAATATTTGCCTGTGTTATCACCATCTCTTTCTCTCCCATCTCCTTTTCCTTCCTCTTTCCTTCACTCCATTCGTCCTCTTCCTACCACTTCACTGTGAGACATTAGGCAAGTTTTTCATCTTTCTAAACTTCAAAGGAACATAAAAAGTAAACAAAGGATAATTGTAAGGAGTAAATAAGATAATAATTTGAAGCACTAGGCACAGTGTCTGACATATTCAATAATTCTGATTAAGATTTGTAGTTTTGCTTCAAATGGCTTTTGAATATTTAGTGTTAAATTAATCGTTTGTTTCACACTTTGTTTTTAGTATGCTTTTAAAAATTATAATTTACTGTTGATGTCACAAACCATTAATGTAAGTACTTTTTATCACATATTCAGGCATAATGAACTCTTATTAATTCCACCAGTTATAAAATTGGTCTTTCTAGCTAAATAATTCTGTTGTCTACAAATAGAGACAATTTGTTTCTTCTCCCATTATCGTCTGTTGTATAAATGCTTTGGGTCTAACTGTATTGAATCTACTTCCAAACCAGCATGAAATAATTATTGTTTTTATGAGCATCCTTGTTTTGTACTTTTACTTATGAGGATGTCTGTAGAGTTTCATTACCAAGTATGATAAGACTATTGATTGAGACTTGTTTTTCCTAATTATATTAAGGATTACTAGTTTTAAAATAATTTTAATTAGGAAAAGTTGGCAAATTTAATGCTTCTCCTGTTCTATTAAAATGTATTTTTCTCAAAAACTTCCTGATATTAATACATATTTAACTCCTCAAATACCCTACTTAGTTGTGAGAGATATTTTTTTCCTTTCATGCACTATTAATTTTTATTTAGGATTGTCATATTGTTAGTATTTTATTTAGGATTATCATATAAATTGTTTTGCTTCATGGTCTTTAATTTTAACCATTTTTGTCATTATTTTGCTATCCCTGGGTTTTCCCAATTTTATAAAACAAATTAGATAGATTTTCATCATTTTCAAGTCCTAGAACATTTTGTATGTATCAGAAAATAAGTTAGTTATAAAAGTTTAAGAGTAAACCTCACCCCAATGTATATGAATATGGTCCTTATTTGCATATTATTCTTAAACAACTTTTTTGTGTTCTTGGTTTATTGGACAACCAAATTTCTCCTGCTTCTTAAATTATTATTTTTTTCTGAAAATTATTAATTTCAAATAAATCCTAATAGTATTTGTAAATAAAATACTATTCTCTTTAATATTAAATCAATGAATTATGTAGTTATTTATTGTCCTTTGAATTTTACATATATTTTTATTTCCTCATTGGGTTTGGTAGAGTCTCAAACAGACACATGTATTGGATTTACCAATCAATGATCAATTCTAAGGCTTTTCTGTTTCTAATCAATTTACTTTATTTTTATCTTTTTGGAAATTATTTGTTTCTTGTGGGTCAGCAATGACTACCTAATCTCCAAATCTCCTGACCTGAATCCCCAAAAGCATTCCCTCTATTCATTGAATGTTTTCAGCTGGATTTCTCTGATGAAACACTCTCCCGAAATACTCCTAGTTTTTCTGGCTACTTTGTTTCTCTTCATCTTACTTCAAAGTTCTGCTTTCCTCTTCCCACCCCAATTTGTGGGCTTTCTCCAAAAGCAGCTCATGGTCCTCATTTACCTTGTAAACCTCACCTAAATTCCTATCACGGTAAAAAGTCGGTAAAACTGTGTCCTCATATCCACTTTCTCAGCCTGTCGGCTAACATTTCCATTAAGAAGTTTCACTCTCACCTTCAACTCAAAGCAGAGCCATAAACTTTTCATAAGTAATTCCATTTGTGACTTGTTGATTGATGACAGAGTGTAACATTTCTGTTGCTTCTAAATCTCTTTATCTTTAAATCCTGAAGGTTTCCAAATCCTTATCCCCTTTCCTTAGCTGCAGATACTAATCCACTCCTGTATTTGCAGTTGACATGGGCTCATAAAAGCATTTCCCACTGCTGCTGTCTCCTCTTTATCTGACAGCACCTGAACTAGCAAGCAAGCCTGGTGATTTAAATGAATGTCCGATCAGGAAATGTTTTATTTTCCCCTAAATTTACCAGTGATTCCCTAAGAACCTCCTCTTTTTCTTCTTTTGGAAAAAAAATTGTCAATATTCTTACCTTGGGATGACTCTCAATGGTCAAAGTTGCCTTTCTGTCGCTAGGAGACATTGGAGATTTTAATTCAGTAAATTTGTCCTCAACAGTGAAATCTTTGCACTAGTTAACTCGTGGGACAAGTTCTCAAGGGGGCATCATAACATATTATGACATATGCCACTCCCCCCAAATGAGTCTAAAACAGAAAACACTGGTAGTAAGAATTTTTTGGTAGTGGAGTAAGGATACACATATTTTTTTTCTGTAATGAGTTTGAATTACTTTTATATGGGTGAAGGATACCCTACCTTTGTGCATTTACTTTTAGTATTGTAAAAGAGAGAACATTGGCTTTGAACACAGACATACCTAATTTTCAATTTCAGCTTTTTTATTTCTAGTGTAACTGGATATTTTTACATTATCCTTCATTTCCTCACCTCTCCATAGGATGATGAAGTAAGAATTTTTATTTCACACATAAATAAATGAGGTAGTGAATGTCTTCTACCAAAGGGTAGTGACGCAGTAGGTGCTGAAGAAATGTTGGTATCCTCACTTAAGCACAAAAGAAAGGATTTATTGACATACATGAGATTCTGAGTTGAAGTTCATAAGATCACTTTATGTTAATTCTGTTAATGTATTTGTTCATATCACTTACTGGCTGGTCTCAGGGTGGGATTTAAATGCTTTTCCACGTAATCTTCTGCTTAAAGCCTGGAGATTGTTTTTTATAGAATCAGTGTGAGATTTGGAAGGCAAAACCTGGGGTCAAGAGACAGCAAACCTGTCTTTGTTTAGATGTCTAAGTCACTAAATATAGTGAGACACTGTGGATGCTAACATAGGATCTCTCCATCCATAAGGGAGGCTGCAAAAGAAGGAGATTTAAAACTTAAAGTGTTCATTCAGTAGAGTTATCAAAACTGATTCAGCAATGTCCAAAAAGTTATGAGAGAACTGATGGAGCATTTCTACTTAATCTGGACATTTAACTTCACTAATTTCAATGGTGTTTGCAAAAAAGGAAAGGTTTATGGCTAGTAATTACTTTTTTAGCTGGTGATCTCTTTTCATTTGCAAATTATTTCTGGGAAAGTTTGAACATTGGCTTTTTGGAAGATGACTTTATTTGCTACACAAAGGTCATTCTTAAATGTCAAACATCATTTGGTAGTTGTTCGTGTTTCATTTTTTAATGTTTGCAAGGATATTTTTTCCAGGCTTGTTTTTGAGGTCAACCTAGTGTTTTGAGGTAGTGGGAAATTCTGGTTCTCTGAAATCATAGGGTTTGAGGAAAACATAGAGCACTGTTACACAGACAAATTAAATTCTTGTGTGATTCAGTTGTGACCTTTATGAGTAATTAACAGATTGCTTGTCTGGTAAAGGAGTTCAGTTCTTTCTCAGCCATTTACTGAGAAGAATTGAGTACTGTTGTGAGAATTTTATCCTTTTATTAGAATTAGACTCAGAAAACCTTTCCAGTCTATAGAGGACATGAAAATTCATGCCTTTTCAGTTTCAGTAACTTAAGGATTGAATATATAAATTTCTCTTAAGGATTGAATATATAAATGTCCTCCAGAGTGAATCTAATGTGGCCTGGTACTCCTACTTTTAAATCCTTCATTCAAAATATAAATGCATCTTCTTATTTATGCTCAATAAAGGAAATTTTAGTAGAAGTAAAATTAAAAAGACATCTGTTGCCGAGGGTGAAAACATCAGGGAAGAAGCAGTGTGATACGTTACTCACCATTAACGTATTTCCATTATATCCAACCTCATTTAATGACCCTGTAAGATTTTGCTCTTTTTTAGAGCATCTTAATATCAATTTGCATTGTGAGGCTCTTAATTTAGGATATTTTTCTTCCCATGGAGTATCAAGGAAAACCTACAAAGCAGTTGGAAGGGACTCGCAGCTGAGATTATAAAAACTGTGAGCATGTGTTAGTCTGATTCTATATTCTACCATGGTTAACACCATAAAACCACATATTCCAATTTAGGGAAGTAAACCATGCAAAGTGCAAGGAGATAAAATTAATTTTAAAGTTGAAAAAGATTCTCGTGGTCTTATTAACTATATGGCCTTACATGTGGGAAAATGGTTTAAGCAACAATTAGATGTGATTTTTTTTGAGTCCCAGACCCAACACATCTTAGCTGTAAAATGTTGGGCAACTGTCACAACCTCTTAAAACCTCATACTTTGTGTATCCAAAATGGGTCTAATAATAGAATCTAACTCATAAGAAAGATAGCACCTAATTATAGTGTCTAACTCATTGGAAAGAATTTTAGCAACATGACAGAATGAGCTGATATGAATGGATCTCAGATCTGCTAAAAACTCATGAAAAGTCTGGATAAAATGTCAAGACAGAAAAATAAACCAAACTAAAAGAAAGAGAAATGTATAGGTGTCCATAAAAGACACCTGCAATGATAAAAGATAAAAGACAAAATATTAAGGGTGAGCTGTGGGATGTTAACTATTTTGCACAGTTATGAGTTCTAAATGGCTAAGAATTAGGATTTCAGGGGCGCCTGGGTGGCGCAGTCGGTTAAGCGTCCGACTTCAGCCAGGTCACGATCTCGCGGTGCGTGAGTTCGAGCCCCGCGTCGGGCTCTGGGCTGATGGCTCAGAGCCTGGAGCCTGTTTCCGATTCTGTGTCTCCCTCTCTCTCTGCCCCTCCCCAGTTCATGCTCTGTCTCTCTCTGTCCCAAAAATAAATAAACGTTGAAAAAAAAAATTAAAAAAAAAAAAAGAATTAGGATTTCAGTGCTACTTCATAGAGAGAAGAGTGTTCTTGGCCTGTGTAGGTTTGGGGAACTAAATCAATCCAACTACACAAAGCCTGGAGCCTCAAAGACTACCCTTTGTTTAAATGGAGTTGTAGGGAAATTTCTCTCAATGGCTCTGGGAAGCAGTGGAAAGGAAGCTTGCCTTCATTCAGAAGGTAAAAATGAATCCTCCCCACCCTCCCCCAAAAAAGAAACAAATACTAACATATACCACGTGAGGGTAAGGTATGAATTTATACATTTATATATTTTTGATGTAGCAACCGAAAACCCAGAAAGTTACTGCTATGGAAGGGCATTTTTACAATGAGTCCTGATAGCAGTTTCACAGCGGGGAAAGTACTATGCAAGATGAACCCTCCATAGAAATAAGATGAAATAAAATAAAACAAAATGAACTATTGGAGAAAACAAAGACTATGGAAGAGAATCTGTGGACACAACACAAGGAGCACACTAAGAGCTAGGGGAAAAAATAACCTTTAAGTAAATCGTAAAAGATATGTTTAAAGTGATTCTTAAAAAGAATAGAAATAATAAATAATAATAAAGAGTAAAGAAAAATAAAGAAAATAAATATAGAACATCATGGAAGAAAATAAATTTGGAAAAACTAGAATTATCAAAAATAAAACGCAGTCGCTAAAATTAAAAATTCATCAGATTGCTTAGGGACTAACTTGGGCATGATCGAGGAAAACGCTTGTGAGTTGAAAGATAAATCTGAGGAATGCAGTGAATAAGATTAAGAACATGATGCCATTTAATAAAAATAATGTCTCCCCTTTCTCTCTTTCTCTTTTTCCTCTTTCTCCCTTCCAAAACATTTTTCAGTCACTTAACAAGGTACAATATACAGTGATGGGCAAGACAGACAAGACTGCTGTTCTTTTTTTTTTTTTTTTTTAACATTTATTTATTTTTGAGACAGAGAGAAAGCATGAACAGGGGAGGGTCAGAGAAAGAGGGAGACACAGAATCTGAAACAGGCTCCAGGCTCTGAGTGGTCAGCACAGAGCCCGACGCGGGGCTCGAACCCACGGACCGCGAGATCATGACCTGAGCCGAAGTCGGACGCTTAACCGACTGAGCCACCCAGGCGCCCCAGGACTGCTGTTCTTATGAAGGTCACATTTTAGTGGGTTTATGGATACTGTTATTAAACAAGTAACAACAACAAAAATAAAACTGATATTGATATATCCTGTGCAGAGAATTAAACTCAGGCCTTAGAAAATAACTATATACATACTTTGTATGTGGTGCCTCTTGAAGAAAGTAAAAGTTTAGCTTAGATAAAGATGACAAGAATAAGTCAGCCATGCAAATATCAGAAGAGTTTCCCAGGTAAAGAAATCAATTAACGCAAAGAAGAAATGAGCCATGTGTTTTTAAGAAACTAAAAGAAGACCAGTTTGGCTAGCATATAGTGAGTAATGGGGAGAAGGATATGAGATGATGCTGGAGATGTAGGCTGTGACCAATTGTACAGGGCTTTTCAAGAGCAAGGATAAAGAATATGAATTTCATTCTAAGAATTGGGGAAACATAAAAGGACTTTAAGAAGAGGATTTACGTGATGTGTTTTACCTTTTAAAGGATCTATCTGCTATGTGGAGAATGGATTGTAAGCAGGGGAAATGATGGGAGGGGTGGAGGGGTAGACACGTAGGAGACTCTGCAATGATCCAAGTGCCAGAGGTAGTGGGGTTTGGAGGAGAGTGGTGGGACAGAGAGAGAAAGACATTGACATATTTGGAACATGCTGTGGATGGAGATATGACAGGAGTTGAAAATTGAGAGAATATGGGATTCAGGGAAAGAGAAGTATCATAGACTCTAGGATTCAGGGATAGATCCATGTACGAATTATCTCTACAATATTCATTAGTCACACAGCCACTGCTTAAGCATTTCCTGCGATCCAAAGTCTGGTATTTTGTATGGCTACTCATTCTTTTTATGCATCCCAACTTGCTAGAAGGTCCTTCCTATGGATCTGAGTTCTTAATAAGCAACATAGTAATTTATTTATAATTCTTCTGCCACGTGACAAATTTCCAAATAATCAAAGAAAAGCACCATTTCTTCTTTTATCCAAGCTAAATATTCTCAGGCTTTTTTTTTTTATTTAATAAGAATCTATTTGTATGGCACTTATAACACTTGTAAGTCTATACTGAAGTTTGATTGTTTTAAGTTGTCCATAGCGTTCCTATTAGATCTGATTCTCTGAAGTGCCTTATCATTGGGCCCTCAAAATTTTATTTCCGAAATAAGCCTGACACTAAACTATAATTTTTGAGATCATTCACCTTCTGAGAACTCTTCTTTCCACATATTTTACTTTACCAGTGTTCCTCTTTTTATTTTTTATTATTATTTTTAATGTTTATTTATTTTTGAGAGACAGAGAAAGAGAAAGAGGCAGAATGTGAGCAGGGGCGGGGGAAGGGCAAAGAGAGAGGAAGACAGAATCCAAAGCAGGCTCCAGACCCTGAGGTTTCAACACAGAGCCGCACGTGGGGCTCGAACTCACCAG